GAACTATTCTCAGGAAATTCCCCTGGTGTGGGCCATACACACTTTCCTCTGACCAGCTCCTTCGCTTTCACCTTTCAGATTCTCATTTATTGTAGTTCCATTGCACTGTTTTGGGGGTCTCCTTAGCTGTGGCAGGAGAATGCCTTTGAAAATGACCCTTGCCATTAGCCAATGATTTCTTAAATGGGGTACATAAAAGACTGATAGAGAACATTTCATGAGGTCATTCCGGCTACCATTTAGGATGTAGAAAAATGTTGCTCCCACATTAAACACAATAAAAAGTGAAATAACCTATAACATCAGAACTTTTTTTTTAACCCACCAGAGTGTAGAGGCCACAGGGCAATAAAGTAGCATGAGATGGCTCCAAGAAGAAAAACAGATGGCTCGAAGAAGAGAGGCAATGTGAGAACCCACTTACCTGAGGCAGAGCACCTGAGGAAGACAAACCACCTGAGAAGTGGAGACGAAGACTGCAACTAACGCTCCATAATAACTCTGTAGGGCAGTTAGATAGACATGCATAGAGCAAGGCTCTTGAGCCAGGTTCAGGTCACCAGGGTAGAAAGCCCCGGGTGCCTGTAATGAAGAAAACTGAGAAAATGAGGACCTCGCCCTAGCATATCAGTGGTCATGAGGTTCAGACCCCCTGAATTTTCTTATCGCTGGCCATGCTCTTAGAGAGGGAACAAATAAGGAGGTTGAAGAATAGTCCTTAAGCATTAAGCCCCCAGGACAATGGGGATCTGACCCACAATCAAATACATCTGGGTTGTGTTTCAGCTCCGGGCCCAGAAAAGCAGCAAAACCAGATAAGCAAGGCCAGAGCTGACCTCGGGACCAGCTACATTAACTAATGACCCTGAAAGGACACCAGTGGAAAGCTGATGGATATTCTATTGGGATCCTCTCCTGAACCCTCCCCTAAAATCTTCACCCTTAAAAGCCATTAGGATGGAGGGACCCAGCCTGCCCTCTCTCCCCCCAGCCCAGAACACACCTCTGCTTTTCCCCTTTCTTCTCCCTCACTTCTTCCTCTCTCTCCCCCTCCCCCTCTGCCCCCATAACCTTTTCCTTCCTCTTTCCTAAGCTCCAAGGGCCCTTCTTTTGCCTCTGGAAATTGTTTTCTGATCCCATTTCTTCTACCTCTCACTTCTTCTACCTCTGGGACTCTCTTATAGTTTGAGTCTTGAATCTGAATTCTTTCCTAGCCAGTACCGAAGTTGCTAAACCAAGGTCCAGTCTGACTCCAGCAGTCTAACATCTGGTGCCATTGCGCCACCAACAAATTTGTAGTTAATTTCTTCTAATTTGCTGCTGTATAGAAGAACCCATGGGAGCTACAGACACAAGGGGCATTTACACCCCCTTATAGATTTTTCTCCACATACCTCACAGAATGCTCATAAGAACATCAGGGTCCGAATGGGGGAGCAGAGGAAGCATCCTAAGGTGGTGCAAGTCTGTGAGGGAGGAACAAAAGCACCCAGGGGTGGGGAGAGATGAAGAGCAGCAAACCCAGCAGGGCCCAGGGTGGACTCATTACAACTGGGGAAGGGGAACAAAGAAACCCTCCTCTCCTGGGGGAGGGGCAGGATGCACTCTCCCACACAGTAGAAAGCTGATGGATATTCTATTGGGATCCTCTACCAACATACCAGCAGGACTTGTTTGCCCTGGGGAGGGGGGCAGGATACTGAGTAGGTTCTAGCCCCAAAGCCCAGGGTCATAGGTCCTGCCTAACTGAGACTGAGGCTGAACCAGGAGAGCATAAAGCCTCTTCCCCTACCAGGCTGGCAAGTGTCTCCTGAGAATCTACTGCAGGAGAAGAAACAGGAGGAGCAAGTCTCTCCCTCAAGACAGGCTATAAACAAAGTAATACAAGTTGCCCCAAACTGGAAACAATGGTGAATGGATAAATGGTGATACAGCATACCATGGAATACTACTCAGAATTTAAAAAGAATTATTAATATATATAATAACATGGTTAGATTGCAAATGCATTATGCTAAGTGAAAAAAAATCAGACCCAGAAGATCACAAACCATATGGTTACATTTATATGACACTAGAAAACAATTTTATTTAAATTAAGAAGTTCTGCCCAAACCGGTTTGGCTCAGTGGTAGAGCGTCGGTCTGTGGACGGAGGGGTCCCAGGTTCGATTCTGGTCAAGGGCATGTACCTTGGTTGCAGGCACATCCCCAGTGGGGGCGTGCAGGAGGCAGCCGATCGATGATTCTCTCTCATCGATGTTTCTAATTGTCTATCACGTTCTCTTCCTCTCTATAAATTAAGAAGCTCTGTTTATCAAAACTCACCATTAAGAGAGTGAAGAGATAAGTCACAAATAAAAAGAAATACAACACCCTAATCTGTTTGGCTCAGTGGATAGAGCATTGGCCTGGGGACTCAAGGATCCCAGATTTGATTCTAGTCAAGGACATGTACCTTGGTTGCGGGCACATCCTCAGTAGGGGATGTGCAGGAGGAAGCTGATCAATGTTTCTAACTCTCTTTCCTTCTCTCTTCCTCTCTGTAAAAAAAATCAATAAAATATATTTTTAAAAAGAAATATAACTTGCAAACAGAAAATATAGAGAATATACAAATAAATAAGAAAAAAAAGGCAACCCAATAGAATAAAAATAAGCAAATGACTTAAGTGGCATTTTACAAAAGAGGATATCCAAATGGCCAAATATATATGAAAAGCTGTTCAATATCTTTATCCTAAATGCAAATGGAAACCATAATAAGGTAATCCTATACCTCCACCAGATAAGCTAAAGTTAAAGTTGGCAATACAAATGTCGGTGAGGATATGGAACTGAAAATGGTTGCAAATGTCTATAAACAACCTTTGAAAATCTATTTGGCGCCGGGACCGGTTTGGCTCAATGGATAGAGCCTCAGCTTGGGGACAGAAGGGCCCTGGGTTCAATTCCAGTCAAGGGCATGTACCTTGGTTGCGGGCATATCCCCAGTAGAGGGTGTGCAAGAGGCAGCTGATCAATTACTCTTTCTCATTGATGTTTCTAACTCTCTCTCTCCCTTCCTCTTTGTACACAAATCAATAAAATATATTTTTTTAAAAAATGAAAATCTATTTGGCAATATTTACTAAACTAAACACACCTGAATCTTATAATCCAGCAATTCCATGCCCAAGTATTTATTCAATAAAATTGAGTTCAAGAGAACCCAAATAAATAAAATCAGAAATAAAAAAGACTGACACCACATGCCAACAAATTGGACAAACTGGAAGAAATGGATAAATTTACAGAAATATACCATCCTCTAAAACTGAATCAAGAAGAAACAGAATATCTGGACAGACTGATTATAACTAACAAAACTGAAGCAGTACAAAAAAACAAAACAAAACAAAAAAAAAACAACTCCCAACAAACAACACTCCTGGACTAAATGGCTCCACAACACTCCTGGACTAAATGGCTCCACAGGTGAATTTTACCAAACATTCAAAGAACTTACACCTGTCCTTCTCAAACTAGTCAAAAAAAAAAAAAATTCAAGAGGGAAGATTCAAAGCTCCTTTTATAAAGACAGCATAATCCTAACTTCAAAACCAGATAAAGATACTACAAAGAAAGAAAATTATAGGACAATATTCCTAATAAACATGGATGCAAAAATTCTCAACAAAATATTAGCAGACCAAAGTTAGTTACACTTTAAAAAGATCACCCACCATGATCAAGTGGGCATTTATTTCTGAGATGAAGATTGCTACAATATTGACAAATCAATCAACATGATTCATTAAAAAAAAAATGAAGGAAAAATCATATGATTATATCAATAAATGCACAGAAAGCTATTAACAAAATCCAGCACCCATTTATGATAAAAACTCTCGGCAAACTGGGAATTCAACATAATAAAGTCCATATATAACAAACACACAACCAACATCATACTCAATGGGAAAAATTGAAAAGTGTTTCCCTTAAGATCTGGAATACGTCAGGGATGTCCACTTTCAGCATCTTACTCAACGTAAGTGAAAGGCAGCCACTCTGGAAACAAGTAAAACTGTCATTATTCACAGATGATCTGATACTGTATATAGAGAACCCTAAAGATTCCACCAAAAACACCTAGCACTGATAAATGAACTCAGTAAAGTAGCAACATACAAAATAAATATTCAGAAGTTGTTTGCATTTTTATACACCAATAAATGAACTATCATCAAAAGAAACTTAAAGAGCAATCCCATTCACAATTGCTTCAAAAATAATAAAATACCAAGGAATAAATTTAACCGAAGCCTGTACTCAGAAAATTATAAGATACTGCAAAAAGAAACAAACAAACAAAAAAAGACAAATAAATGTAAGCATATACTGTGCTCGTGGATAGGAAAAATTAAATCCAGAGGCACCTCCTCTGTATTTCTCCCTGAACATCAGGCACCAGTCCTCAAGCCTCCAACTACAGGGGTGACCCACTAACCTCCCAAGCCATCCTAGAGGCGCCTCACTGGGTGTGAGGAGGAAGGAAACCCCATCGCCTCAACCTCTCACTTTATTGAGGTCTCACACACAGCCCATCAAGTTCTCCAAAAATATCTCTTCACAGACTCTCTTTCCTCTCCATAACTTGACCCTTTTTAAAAATGTGAATGAGAGATTCACGAATCTTTGAGCCAGCATCAGACGGTAACTTTACAATTACACTCTGTGTTTTCACCCAGTACCTCACTCTGGCGTGCAGCACATATGGTTTGGCTGTAGGCTCTCATCTCCCAATCAGGACTTCAATATTAAGCTCCTGTTAGCGGAACTTTGGCTTGAACCCTATGAAATTCTTGATTGTTGATGGTTTGAACTAACACTTTTATTCAAAATAGGCTTTTTAAAGAAAATGAACTTTAGTTAGAATTTGAACAAGAGAGAAAAGTGGATTCTTAACTGAATACCCATGAAAACACTGAAATACCTTGTGCAAAGCATCTTTCTCACCTTGGCTTTCAGGTCAGCACACAAATCCTGCTGTTTTTTCCTGTCCTTGGCCAATGTGCTCTCCATTTCATGAACTGCACAGGCCTCAGCAAGTGTCAGCACAGCCTTCTGTATAAAATCCCTCCTATTCTTACTCCAATTGGATAGCAAGACCTTTCGCTGCTCCCTTGCAAAGTGATATTGGTCACAACATTTCTCATGTTCGACCTGAAAAGAAAACAGATGGATATTAGTACACTCATTACACTTACAACGAAAGTGAGACTATGCCTTATGTCATTGTTATGAAAATGAATAAAATAAATTATAACAACAGATATTTACTGGGGACAAACATCTTAATAGTTAATATAGCACCTTGGACTTGGTTCCTGTCCCAGAGTTCTGAGCCTGTGGCTAACTGGTGACTGGGGACTGTAAATCCATAGTTTCCTCATACAGAATGGAGTCAGACACAGGTGGCCCTATAATAAATTCCACTTCTACATGGCAATGAATCTATGAGCAGAAAGCATTATTTCCCCTATATATAATTTCAAAAATACTCCATTTTTAAATTAGTTCTGGTATTTTAACAATTTGTTTAAGTGCTTTAGGAGTTTGACATGTGCTAATAAACATTAAAAATTGTCACAATAATCCTGAAAACTCAATTTGCCCTTGATAATGGAAACATTCAGATGTTAAGTTGTCTAAACTTAAAGTAATTATAGAAATGACATTAGCCCTTCCCTTCCCACACTCCTGAGGGACATGGCATTCTCACATCAGCACCAGAGGTTCCTGTTGCCCATGAATCCCAAGCAGAGGAGATCTCAGCCTTAAGGGGAGGAACAGGAATAGAGAGAGCCTGAGTGGTTGGAAAAAAATATCTGTAAGTGATTCTGAAATGCTCATTATATAAATGTGTCTCCCGAAGTTGAGTCACCGACCTAAATAATTCTTTATTTTGCCAGTACTGTATAGATCATGTTTCTGAATTTGATACATTATTGAACCTCTAAATGGTGTGAAAAAAGAAGGTCAAAATTAGGGAATGGTTGGTCCCACCTAAAAGAATAATACAGGTTTGTTTAATCAGGCACATGATGAAACAGGCTATGGCTTCACTTACACCAAACATCCACTGCTCAAAATCTGTTCTGTAAACTTTTTAGCTTTGTTTCCCTAAGCCAAAAATACACTTAAAACCTGTCAAACATTAAGAAAGGAAGCATGCACCATGCAGAAATGCATACTAATCAGCCCACTGTAAGAAATATATGTAAAAATCTTTATTATGTAAATAGTAGGCAAATAAAAAAAAAGTCTACAAATATAAAAATGACAGCTGGTCACAGAAGCAACTAGATTTGACAGGAGATAAAAAGAAAAATCTAATTTAATAAATTAAGACTTTTAAAAATTCTAGAGTGAATTATTTATTATATAACATGTTTTTTTTAATGTGGTGTGTTGTGTGTCTTTTTTCAGAGAGAAAAAGAGTAAGAGAGAGATAGCAACCATTTGCTTCTCATATGCACTCCAACTGGGACTGAACCCACAACCTAGGTATGTGCCATGACTGGGAATCAAACCTGTGAACTTTTGATGTACAGGACAATGCTCCAACCAACTAAGCCACACTGGCCAGGGTATATATAACAAGTACCTCCTATTTCTAGCTCAAAATTAAAACAAATAATTATGGGAGAGTGGGGGAGTGGATAGATGAAGATCACATAGCTGTGTGACCTCTGCTTCAATTTCTTCATCTGTAAAATAAGTATAACAATGGTACTTCCCTTATCAACTGTTATATGTGCTACAGGAGTTTACTATACACATGCCCGGCATAAGGGAAACTCTATATACATGTTAGTATTGTTCTTATTTGCATAATTTAAACACTTATAAATATGCAGATTATGTGATATTTTATAGGCTGGTCCACTTAAAAGTTAAGTGTATAGACTACACGCTTATTTACATTGTAGGCATCCAACGCACAATTTGAAATTGTGCAGTGCTGCCTACTTTTGAGTTGCCAGCCGGCTCTGCCTCCCTCTCCGAACTTTGAAGCAGCCGCAACCACTGCTGATCAGGCCCTCCCCTAGCACAAGTGCGTGGAGGCCCCTGCTGCTCCACCCCCAACACTGGGCACGTAACCTCCTCCTGTCTTGTGAACCCATATGGCATCCCCGTTAATTAGCATATTTCTCTATTTTATATAGATAGATAGATAGATAGATATAGATATAGATATAGATATAGATATAGATATAGATATAGACAGACATAGACAATAGACAATAGACTATAGATATAGATATAGATATAGATATAGATATAGATATAGATATACTAGTATTTTAAGGTAAGTTTTATGAAATTGGTAACAAGCTAACTTTTGTGTTCTTGTCTTGTCAACTAGAAAAATGAAACAAGTATTTCCAGGCTCTTCTCAGGGAAATTTCAGGCATGGCTATGAATTTGAGGCATTTGTGTGTTAGAGTCATGTAGAGGGGTCAAACAGAGTTATGATGGTGGGGGTGGTATAGATAAGAACCAGCTTGCAAGGTGAGTGTTGACTTCCCCATGACTAGAAGGACTGACGTGTGGCAGCTCTGTGGGCCACAGAGCAGAAGCAAGCATTCCACTTTCCAGCAAGACCCAAAGATGAAATAACCTCTGATGGTGGGCAGGCCACTGTATACACACCTGGAAGTCCAATACTAACAGAGCAACCAAGGAGGCACAGTGACGATCTCTGGGGCAAGTGAGCACGGAAGAGCAAAAGTTGCCAGGGGGGGTCACCTACCTTCTTATGGGCCACACAGACTTCAAATATGAGACTTCAACCTAGAACACCATTATTTTTTAGCTGAAGGAATAACTAAATTTTGGAGCACCATTTAATATATATATATATATATATATATATATATATATATATATATATATATTTTACTTAACAGTATGGACCATGAAAACAACCCCCCAGTACTCACCAAATCATGCCTAGATTTGTGAGGAAAATACCGTTGTAACATGTCCAGATACAGAGTTCTTCTGCCACAGAGATCTCCATGATACTGATCCAAAACAGCCTGGTATATCCAGTGTTCTTCTTCACTTAATTGGAAGTTTCTGGAAACAACAAAACTATTACAACATGTTGTTAAGCAATCATGAAGTTTGAGGGACCTCAAACTCTTCAAGCTATTACCAAGTAAGGATGATTACCTAAAATGAAGTATCTCTCTTTTTGTTTTGTTTTTTAAATACATTAGCCAAACTAAATATCTGCTGTTGAAAAGGTTCTAAATTCTACTATAATTGGTTCTTTCAATTCTTTATTTGGTCTTGCCATGAGTTCTAGGAGTAATTTGAAGAAGTTTGACAATGAGACATAGTATTGTTAAAATGTTTAGTCTAACTCGCCTAATGTTTTTTAAATATGACTAGTAAATGAAAATTTTAAAACATTGGGAAATAAATTATTAAACACTAGAGACCCGTTGCATGAAATTCGTGCACTTGGGGAGTGAGGGGAATCTCTCAGCCCAGAATACAAGAGGGATCCCACAGTGCATGATCAGGGCTGAAGAGAGATTTGGGAGGCTGGCCAGCTGTGGAGGGACCATGGGAAGGCTCCAGGGTGTGTCTACCCATCTCCAGGGTGTGTCTGGTCAACTGGACCCCATCAGCAAGCTAGTCTGTTGGAGCATTTGTCCCCTGGTGGTCAGTACATGTCATAGCGAGTGGTTGAGTGGCCTTAGCATATCATTAGCATATTACACTTTGATTGAATATTAGGCTTTTATTATATAGGATACAGATTAAAAAGAAATTTTGCTTACTCAACAAAGTTCCTATTTCTAGACTGGAGGAAAATACAAATGTAGACAGTTAAATGAACAATTAGATACCAGAAACTAAGACCTGAGGAACACACTTCATTTCAAGTCTGACTTTAAAAGCAAGTCTAAAGTTATCTTTTACTTTACCTCCTCAGCATCTTGCTTTCTAGGGTAAAAGTAGACATTGGTTGTGAAAAAATAATAAAATTACATTTCAGAAAATTAAAAAAATCATTTGTAGCCGAAACCAGTTTGGCTCAGTGGATAGAGTGTCGGCTTGCAGACTGAAAGGTCCCAAGTTCAATTCCGGTCAAGGGCATATACCTTGGTTGCGGGCACATCCCCAACCAAGTAGAGGGTGTGCGAGAGGCAGCTAATCAATGATTCTCTCTCATCGATGTTTCTAACTCTCTATTCCTCTCTCTTTCTCTCTGTACAAAATCAATAAAATATATTTTTTAAAAATCATTTGTAAAGAGGATCACTTCAAGTCATCTTACCAATAACTGTACAATTTTAAAAAATTTTCATATGTCTTCTCTGCCCTTGAAAAATATTTGACAATTTAAAACAATAATAAAACTCTTTAAACCAATGATACTAATAGGAATTCCACTGTCTTCACACAAGTTTACCTAGTATCTGTAAAGCATTTCATTATTCTGGTAAGCAGAAAGAAAGAAAAGATATTTCTCAAAGAAGATAATCTCTAACAACTCTATAACTGGGGGAGGAAAGAGGGTTACAGATGTTCTACAGGGAAGGATACTCTACAGTTCCTCTGTATGGCCTAATTTGTTGCAGAGAAAGAATTTGAGATGAATTCATTCATTGAACACCTTGAGTGTTTTGTTCTGTTTGAATCGGTTGGGCACGTATAGACAGTCAAAGGCTTCTGAAAATAAAGCGTTTCAAATAGGGATATTGAGCCTGGAGAAAAGCTTGGCATTTAAAACACTCTCAAGTCTTCAAGGGCAATATCTCTGGTGCTCTCTCAAGGAACTCATTTTCATTCATGATAACATAAATGCATTTTAATAGCAGAGTTCGCCACATTCTCTATTATTACACCACGGACACAATAATGAGTAGACCTAAAGTCCCTGTCCTCATTCATGTTTTTAAACTGTTTGCATAAGCAAAGGGACTTTAACACGGTTTGATTTCTACCTTTATTTGATTACAAATGTGGGTGGGTGCCTGTGGGAATGTGCGCTGGGGAGGAGGAAGAGACAGAGTCTAAATTCAGGAATTTTCTTTTGCTCTTTTACATTGTCATACATCTGTATAAAGGATGCTTTGAAACCATGACAAGATCACCTTTATTAGGCAGAATCCCCATTACCAAAATACTGATAATTCACAGATGCACCTTCCTTCTGAACCAATTGGGAGCTGCCTCATGCAGAAGGCTATTCTCTTCCACAAGAACTAACCACAACTGATGACTGATTATCTGAGGGAGGACTACAGAAGCCCACCCTACTTACCCCAAGATGGGACCAACTATGTGATACCATTTGTGCTGCCGTTTCACTGTGGCAGCAAACTGCAGCTCATTCCCACTGAGATCTCTGCATAGACATTTTCCCCTCCTCTATTCTGCTTCCCTCACTACCCTTCTCCAGAGAGCACTGCCCAACAAATCACTTGTTGCAATCTTTGTCTCTACTGAACCGGACCTAAGGTAATATACAAGCTTTCTTACCCATCATTTTGAAAAATAGTTTCAATTTTTTGGTAAAGTACTTCTAAGCTAATTGCGTTGACGGTCTCTCATACTGAGTGGCGGTACAAGATTTTTGCTCAAAGAGAAACTGCAAACAGCAAACATTTATAAAAATGCTTTTCAAATAAAAGCACACATTAAGCAGTGTACGTTGCTATAAATAAATATAGTAGCAGTCAAATGTGTGGTGCTCGCTGCATTTTTATACATCGTGTGAATTATTTAGGTGCCATTTTAGTGACAATGTTAAAACCCCTTAAATGTCTGAAATGATAATATAACATTAAAACCAAATATGTCATGAACAATGATTACATTTATTTTGCTCTTCTTACTGATTTTAGAAACCTCATTTCAACAGCTTTTCCAATTATCACAATTACACAAATTGTAAGTCATTTTCCAATATAAATCTGAAAAGAAATCATACATAAATACTCACAACATTATTATTTTTAGAGTATTCATAGCAGTTTCCACAGCCGCAGGCTTAAATCATGAGGCAAATATTCCCATCAGCAATACTAATGGCACAATCATGCATCTCCATTAGGATGCTGTTGTGAGAGAGAAAACTCCCAGCACTGTGCAAGGCCTGAGTCTTCGGATGTAAAATTCAAACATAATAGCCTCTTCACAATAACTAAGTAGTCGTTTCTTACATACCCTCCAAAACAAATTCAAATTTAATATATCTGCATTTCTAAATTCAGACCTGGACATTTTTTTCTTTCCTAATCCAACCTTTAGCTTTCCATTGTTCAGAAAAATCTATACAGACTAGCTTAGCTTTATAAAATAACGAGGATTAGCTTTTACCTTCCGAAGTTCTTGTTTCATTTAACTGCTTTGCTGATTATTGTGATGAAAGAATTAGCTAAATTACACAGATTGAAGGATATTCTGATCACTTATCCCCTTTCGGAATTAGGGAAAAATGACTGTCATTTTAAATTAAAAAAAAAAAAATTTAAAGAAGACTTTACAATTATCCTACGCTTTTGCAAGTTTTAAAATATCCTTAGACAAAAGATCTTTGGCAGGTCTCTTCAATTTCTATTCTTTTCATCCACCCAAATTTTCTAATTTCAGTTGTTTTGTGATTTTTATCTTTAAAATAGCACACTAAAATCCTACAGTTTCCAGGTTTGTTGGGCACTTCTAACACTTCAGGGAATTTCAGCCTGCAGATGTATGAGATATTTGCCCCTCAATCCCACCCACCAAATCCTGTCCCAACCATTGAAATCCACTGATCTCATTCCATCATGATTTCCCAGGATATGAGGTAAAACAGATAATTTAGAAAAGGAGGACTACGGGGATGTGAGAATTCAACCAGACTGAGACTGATTTTCTCCCCATTTCTACCTATTTGAATCATTCCGAAAATCCAAAACTGACTTCCAATTAAGTTAGCTACCAGTTTTCTTAGTAGTCATATTTAAACCATTTCCCTGGAATCTGGTGTCAAGACATCAAGATACATTTGAGTGTATGTGTGTGTGTGTGGGGGGGGGGGGGGAGTGAGAGAGAAGGGGAAGTAAGGGGGGAGGGGGAAAGTGGTAAATAAAATTCATAAGGGTGATAGGTACTTGAACAACAAAAGTCTATGAAACTAAACATTATGTTTACAAACTGGCTGAAAGTTGTTTTACATTTTCTTAGAGTGAAGGGAGTTTTCCAGCCAAAAAGGTAATTAGTGCTTCCTCAAGCTTGCTGATGACAGTGCTCAGCAAATGAGGACAGGCCTGGAGAGTGGAAACGACCATGGTAAATCTGGCCTAAAGAGAATCTCTTTCAGTGTAACACTGTCAGGGGACACCTAATGCTCCTCCACTAAGAAGCATGCTTGCAGTAGCCACCATGGTGAATGTGGGTGAAAGAGAGCTCTCACACCATCTGTTTGTCTAGCTGCATTGGGTCGGACCCTCTAGAAAAGATACCTTGACTTCACTTTTTAACACTGATTTTCCAGATTCAACCAGTCCAAACACCAATTCTAATCAGCCCGGTTCTTGAAACTGTCTTCCCACCCACCACCTCACCACAGGTCTATTATCCAAAGACAAATCTATCTTTGATTTTCAGACTGACTTACACGAGCTCCCTGGCCTCAGACTCATTTCTGACCAAAGAAACCTGCATCTCAGGTTTTCTTTGGTCTGTACATTTTTCTTCCCATGGGATCCATTCCCACTTAGCAGTTCTTGCCTCCATGATCCCTAGGCTCTGCCCAGTCTGGCTATGCAGGTGGGAGTTCACAGCTAGAATAAAGTGGGCTCTCAGGAATATGGTCATAATTCACTTAATTGAAGAATCCACAGCAGAGTGACCCACCAGACCTTGGACCACATTCTTCTGAGGGGTGTCAGGAAAGTGAAAATATGGCAACATTCTAAAAGTAATGACTCCAGAATTTCTTATAGGTGGGTTAGGGATGAGAATCTGTTCAGAAGAGAAGGCTACGTAATTATTTGGAAGGTGCAATTGTTATTTTCATAGCAAACATGTTGTTTTTACTTATAATTTTTAAAAATAATATTTTGCATAAAAAG